TTGAAATTCAGTGTCTCTTCACAAAACTCCAGCATCCTCATTAGGAAATGGAGACTGCACTGTATCTGTTTTATATGACGTGTTTCAGAATCCAAGTCTGTTCAGCAGTTCCCAAGTCACATGACTACTCTCTAGTTGCAAGAAAGGATGAAAGACTAAACTCAGACTACGATTTTGAGATGGTGAGATTCAATACAAAAAATTCACCAAGCATAGGAGGATTTTCAAACGCTAGCCACAAACACAATAAACATCCATTACAGACAGTAAAATTTATATTTAAAATTCATTCCAGATCAAGTGAATTTTTCACTTGTATTGATACACATGACAGTGTTTAATTTCTACTTTGTCTAGTGTTTTCTACTCAAACTATGGTAAAGTATGTGAGCCCTTTCCCCTCAAAAATAGTTATCTGGTAATGGCATCAGAAAGAAACAATCTTTGTACCTATGCAAGAAGAACCATGGTAATGTTTACTCAAAAGATCACAAAGGAAGCATCTATGTGAAAGTTAGAAAAGAATAGAAGAGGTAGCAATTTTAGATAAAATATTGTCACATCCAAGTAATTGTGAAAAACAGTCTATTAATATTTGTCTTTTAAAGATTATAAAAGTAATTTGTAGTAGTTAAAAATTGACAATATAAAAATATTAATATGAAGAAATATAATTTACCAAATATCCTTATAGGAGAAATAAGCACAACATATTTTCTTTTCTTTGTAGATTTTTACATAATTTGAAGAATTTTATATTTATGCACTATTTTAAAAATAAAAAAACATGTTATGCCACTAAAATTATTGAGTGTTCTAAAGGTTTGAATCCCAGATGCAGCGACTTAAAGCTCACACCAGGCATATGTGCATGCGTGTCCAAAATCCCAAGAGGAGAATGGAAAAGGGATTGCAGCACGACCATCGCCTTGGGGGTGATTTATCACTTTCTGTCTCTCTGGCAAGCATACACACCCTACAGCAAAAATCTCTTTAAAAAAATTATGTCTGTGTACTCGTCAGCTTCCCCAAATGCATTATATCAATCTAAGGGCAGGGACTTAGTCACACCTTATTTTTTATTTTGATCCCAATATTTCATATAATAGTGAATAAAGCATTTTTTCTGAAGGTTGTATGCATAAAGCTTTAGTTTTGTGCACTATATATTAGTTCTGCATTAGCACCTATTTAAATAGATGCCAATCTCGAATTTTAGATATCATTAAGTTAGACTGGATAATTGGGGAAGCAAGATCTTTATCTTTTTTTTTTTTTTTTTTTTTTTTTAGAGGTCTTTGCTACAGGGCACGTATGCTTACCAGAGAGAAAGCGAGAAATCACCCGCCAGGAGAGATGGCCGCAATCCCTTCTCCTCCATTCTCCTCTCGGGATCTTGGGCATGCATGCACATGCACTTGGTGTGAGTTTAAGCCACCAGGTCCAGGACTTGAACCGCAGTAGACTACATGGGAATTCAGCAAGATAGCCATTATGCTAACTGCTGGTCCCAGATCTTCATCTTTTAAAAATTTTATTTTTAAAGAATTAATCAATATTAATATAAATTTCGCTATAGGGCATGTACTCAGAGTGGGGAGAGAGGAGAGAAAGTGTGAAAGCAAGCCAACAGGTCTGAGACTTGAACTAGTCAACCCTGTAGGAGTCTAGATCTCTAACCACCACACCACCTGTTGGCCCAAAGATCTTTATCTTAAAGGAGATTACAACCTACTAAACTGTTATACTACCAACATGAAATATTGGTATAAAGTAATAATTTAATGAATATTTGGTACCTTGTATGAATGATATGCTAAGAAACTATTATGTGTAAAGATTAAATATTTTGATCAATTAAGCTAGTGTCCAAAATAAGTCAGACATGATTTCTGAGTTATCAACATGATTAAAATCAAAACACCAAAACAGAAACAACTCATAAATCTCCCTAATTTCACGTTGACCAAAAAAAAAAAAATCCAAAACCCTACATTCTTGAGAGGGTTTTAAAATAGTAAATGGAAGCTAGTAATATTAAATTATCCTAAAGCACCCTCTAGTGACGAAAAAGCAATTCATATATATGCTAAGCAAGATTGTATTTATTTATTTATTGGAGAGGTTTTTGCTATAGGATGCGTGTACTCGCCAGAAAGAAAGAGAGAGGAAAAAAGTGAGAAATCACCCCCCCCAGGGGAATGGCCATGCCATAATTTCTTCTCCTCCACTTTCCTCTTGTGATCTTGGGCATGCACCATGCACCCGGCATGAGTTTAAGCCACCAGGTCCAGGACTCGAACCATGGTCGACTACATGGGAGTCAAGCAGCATAGCTAGCCATTACGCCATCTGCTGATCCTGCAAAATTGTATTTTAATGAGCATCTGGATATTTAACTGAAAATTTCCTAAATAAAATGAGTGTGCTCATCAGTAACTTTGTTTTAATAATTCTCCACTGCTCTATTTAACAATTTAATCCAGCTGGGAAAAAAAATCAACCTACCTTAGGTGTAAAAGATACTTACTGTATAAAATACATATTCATAACACAAAAATAAACACCCTAGAGTTCTGCTCTTTTTATCTGTGCACTTTTTTATTATTGTTCCACTCTTTGACCTTCTACTCATGGTAAAATGTTCACTCAAGCCAAAGAAAATACGAGTAGAGAGGACAGAATAAATATATCTAATCTGATATTTTCAATAGATAACTCCTTTTTAAAATTTTAAATATGGGACCAGCAGATGGCATAAGGTTATGTTGCTGGACTCTAATGTAGTCAACCACAGAATGAGTCCTGGATCTGGACTCCTAAAGCACACTAGGTGCATGTGTGTGTGTGACCAAAATCCCAAGAGGACAATAAGAGAAGGGATTGTGGCATGGCCAATCCCCTGGGAGGTGATTTCTTGCTTTCTGTCTCTCTGGAGAGTGCATGGATCCTACAGCAAAAATTTCTTAAAAAAAAAAAAAAATTAAATACGATGATTTTAAGTCTTTAAATATTTCATCACAAATAGTTTCTTGCCATTAAATTTTATAGCTTAACTAGGCATTAGCCATTTCTCATTAATCTTGGCATTTCTTATGATTTCAATTGTTTTACTGCCTACAAAGAGAATGCTAATAATATCTTAAAATTTTATCATGAAAACATATTAATATTCTGAAATCATAAAACACTTCAAAAGATTAGTAATGAATTTTTTAAAAAAGCTGAAAGCATAAACAAACAGCTAAGAAAAACTTTCTCATTTAAATTTTTTTTTTTTTTTTTTTTTAGTTTTGCTATAGGGTGGGAGTATTCACCAGAGACATGAGAGAGAATGAAGTGAGACATCACCCCCCCACCCCATCACCCCAGGAAGGATGGCCACACCACAATCCTTTCTCTTCCAGTGTCCTCAGGATTTTGGGCATGAACTACATGTGCCCCTTATGATTTCCAAGCTGCCAAGTCCAGGACTTGAACAATGTCATCAACCATATGGGATCCAGTGCCTTAAAATCCACACAGCTTGATTGCCTGAAAATTGGTACTTTTATGGTCTGGCCCCATAGTGCAGTGGTTGAGTGCTGTGTGGAGCCAGTCAGATCCATGTGGCCAACTACAGGTGAAGTCTCAGTCCTGTAGTTTGTAATATACACTGGATGTACATTTGTGCATGCTCCGAAGTCCTGACAGGCCAGAGAAATGGAGAAAAAAAAGGATTTTATCATAAACATGCCCTATTTTGTATGGGGGTGGGAGGTGCTTTCTCTCTCTGGTGAGCGTATACACTTCCAATCAAAAACAAAAATCTGTACTTTTGAGTTTGAATATTTTATTTGGATGACAGTTTGTATCTTTCATGTCTGACTAAAAGATATGACATTAATGAATATCAAGTAGCATTTTATGCTTCATGTCTTTATTGAACAGGTTCAAAAATGAAGACATTATTTGTGATTAAAAAAACATAGTGGACAAGAATCAACAGTAGCCATAATGATCTTACTTTTACAAGCTAATAATTTGCAGAATAATACATAAGCAATTTTTACATTTTAAATTTAAGCTTACAATTAATTTTTTATTCTACCACATTGGCAAATACTTGTGAAAATAAATAAAAATAAAATAAAGATGCATAGGAAGATTTCTTAAAAAGTGAAGTATGTATTGCACAACAAATCACTGTGAAAATAAAATATGAAAGTAATATAAAAATGCATTTAAATACATTATCACATGTTCATAAATCATAAATATATTTCACCTACTTACTTTATAATAATTTCTTGAGCTCTAAAATTGGGTGAATTCTTACTTCCACATAATACGCTGTAACATTTACTTGCTACTGTAAAATTCAGTGAGAAACACATGTGCCAATTTATATAAGTGAAACTAATTTAGCTACCCTTTCATTGAACAAAAACAAAAAAAATGGTGCTCAATGCTATATAAAACAAGAGTTTAAAATTCTTCATATGATTTGTAACAATTAGGACTGAATAGAAGGTACTGAAATGGAAATCTAATATGTACATTAGTCACATAAATTTAAGATTACTCTAGTTAATGGACTACTCTTTTTTGACCAATATGATTAAAGGAAAAAAAACTAATAAAAAATCAGGAAAAAATATAAAATCATAAAATGACAATTACAATTACCACTGGGTTTTAAGCAATTCCCAAATTGAAAACAAACAAAAATAATTTTTAGAGAAATTCTAAACCATAAATTTCTACACTGATTTTTAGGATTGATTAGAATCATAAACCAGAAGCTTAAAATTGCATAAGATATAAAAGATTTGCTTATACTGTTTAATAAAATCGAGTTCTCATAGGCTTCATTGATCAGAAAATACTACAGTATTACTGAATATAGTCACAAAAGCAATTGAAAAGATCTATTACTAAGTACTATGTTACACTGAAAGTGACAATGATTAAAATCTATATTTTAGGCAAGGTAAAAAGAAAAAATAATTTTCTGTGTGTTTAATTACATAAGTCAGTTATGCATTAAAACAATACATTTTCAGTGGCTTTTTATTGTGATGTGTTTGCTGTTTCAATCTTAACCATTAAAGAGGAAAATATGAGTAGAAAAAATTAGATATTCTCTTAACCTCCTCATAACTATATGTAATTACACTCTGAGGAACTAAAATTCACCTACTTTCTACCTGCATGCTCTATACTAACAATTAATTACTTCAATTATTGCAGTTGGTCCTCTGTATCCTTGGGTTTTGCATCTGTGTACTCCACCAACTGCAGATGAAACCTTTGGGAAAAAAATAACATAACACAAAAAATAATACAAATAAAAAACAAAATGTATAACTATTTATAGAGCATATATATTACATTAGGTGTTTTATATAATATAAAGATGATTTAAAGTATACAGGAGGATGTTCACAGGTTACATGCAAACACTATGCAATTTGACTTAAAAACTTGAAATTCTGAGGATGCTGTTATCCAGGGACCTTGAAACCAATCTTTTGGGGATACTGAGGGATGAGTATATTTATTAGATGAAGTAATTTGTTTTAAAATGCATTAAAATAATTTCTTCTAAATTCAGATACACTGAAATATTTTTAGATATGTAAGATTTTGCAAGAAATTTTGTGCAACTTTTATATAGAATAAATTACATTTTCAAATATTGCAAAAAATAAAACAGTAAATTAAAACTACTCCAGACAAGTTATGAAAAAGAAAAAAATGACACTTAGGAACACTACTGGAAATAAAAAGAATATTCAATCATTATCCACGGGAAAATCAGGTACGAACAGAATATTTGTATTTTAAGTCTTGTGTTTCTGAAAATAAAACTGCATTATTCTATTTTTCACAGAATAAAGATCTTTAAATTATATTATTAATAGTATACCAAATAAAGAACATAAGTTTCTTCCTCTATTTTTACTTTTTAGCATTTATAAAAGTAGTTGTCAAAGAGTTTGTGAGAAAAGTGACCTCACATAACTAATTATAACAGAGAACATCCTCTTTAATTACAAAATGCCAAGCATCCCATCCAATTATGATAGTATCTGAAGACAGGCACCAATAGTGAAACAATTTATTCGATTTTTTTGCTCAAAGTTATGATTATCCTGAATTTGAAATGTTAAGCACTTGAGTATGAAAGTTGTTGGAGGTATACTTAATGTGCCCTTAAAACAAGGAAAATGGTACAAATAAATTAACGATTCCACTAGAAATTATTTTATGACAGTGGATATTTCTGTGACTGGCACAGTTTGGGGAATCAGGTTTTTATTATATATAGTATATGTACACACACACACACACACACACACACACAATTACACAGCCAAAAGATATGTTTCAAAAATTACTGGAAAAGGTATTTTGAATATTTTTTAGCACAACATAACTAGAGGAAGTGCTCTAGCTTTCCAAGCAGCAATAATCATAAAACTCTGAACTTGGCTGTTTTTTTCTTTGGAAGTCTGTTCACAGAATCATTCTTCGAATGCCACATTCACAGCAGAATTTTGCCCATTCTACAGGGTATTTAGTCCCACACTCATGGCAGAATTTTGGTAAGTGTCCAGATGAATTTCCTTCAATGCCTTTAATGTTTCCACCATTAAGTGAAGATGCATAGTCTCCATCTGGCCTGAAGAAGTACAGAAAGAAATGGAACAACAAAGTTCACATCAGGAGTTTTCAGCCTATAACCTTTGAGAAACATAACAAAATAAACATGTCTAAAAGCCTACTTAATTTCCTTTGTAATATATTTCTAGTTCAAATAAAAAAAGAATTCCTATAAATCCAAAATATTTAAAAATATTTGACTCTGTCAGGAGAATTATCATGACCAAATGCAGACATGCTCCCCAAATGGTCTATGTACAGGCAATTAATACATTGTGGACAGGAAGAAAATTTATAATGTCCTTTCTTCTGTAAAACCATCTTTAAAGAGAAAACTAGAACTCAGCCCTGAGGAAAAATGAAGTCTTCAGTTCTAGGCCTTTTTTTTTTTTTTTTTTTTTTTGGTCACAAAGGTTGTAAGGTATATTTATTCTATTATTTAACTGGCTCATAATAATTCTCCATATTTCGGAGTCCAGTGTGATTTTATAATATATAATGATCTAACTAGAGTAATTAGCATACTTATTTCAAACATCTGTCATTACTTTGTGCTGAGCATTCACAAGATAATTAACTGTAGTCACTTGACTGCTATTGAATACTACAACTTATTCTCTTACCTGACTGTAATTTTGCATCCTTACCATCTCCCTTTCCCTCCATGTTCCCTACCCTTCCCAACCTCTGGTAACCACTATCGTACTCTCTGCTTCTATGAGGTCAAATAGTGACCTTTTATTACTTTCCACAATACTTGTGTTAGTTTTTGGATATGAATGAGATAAAGTGTTTTTCCCCCCTTTCAGTGCCTGTTTTTTTTTTTTTTTCAATTAACATTATGTCCTCTAGCTATTCATGTTGCCTTTTGATAGGATTTCATGTTTTTAGTGATTGAAAAGTATTTCACTGTTTATATATACCACATTTTCTTTATCTACTTGTCTCCTCATAGACAATTAGGCTGATTTCCATATGTACCTACTGTAAATAATGGTGTAATAAACACAGGTGTGCAGATACCTCTTCAACATAACTGATTTCGATTTGTTTGGATTTAGTATAGAGGCAGCATATATTTAGTAAAGGGATTGTAGATGATATGCAGTTCTGTTTTTAAATCTTTTGTGGACACTTCATATTGTTTTCCACAATGGCTGTACTAATTTGCATTCTCACCAAAATGGAACATGAAAGTTGCCTTTCTCCACTTCCTTCTCAGCATTTATTATAGTCTTTTTGATAATAGCATTTGACAAGTGTTAGGTAATTTATTATTTACTGTATTTATATGTTTTTTACATATATCCCTCTATCCTCCCTACGCTAACCAAACTCTAGTAACCACTATCCTACTCTCTACTTCTATGAGGGCAAATAGTGACCTTTTATTACTTTTCACACTACTTCTATTAGTTTCTGCATATCAATTAAGATTATGTTTTGTCTTTCCTTCCTGTGCCTGCTTTATTTCCACAGTGTCTTCCAAAAAAATCCGTGTTGATAAATACACATAAACCTCATAGAGGTTTTGATTTGCATTTCCACAAAAATTATTAGGGATATAACTAACTACTTTTCAGATATCTGTTGGCCTATTGTGTGTCTTTCTCTGAGAAATGTCTCATCAGGTCTTTTGCCCACCTTCAGATTATTTGGAATCTTCTTGCATTGAGATGCTTGAGTTCTTTATATATTCTTGATATTAGCCCTTTAAAAAGTACAATTTGCAAATATTTTCTCTTTCTGCGGGATGTTGATTATTTCCTTTGCTATACAACTTTTATCTACTTTGCTTTTGCTCCTTGTACTCTGGAGGTTGTATTCAAAAAATCTTTGCCCAGATTAATGTCACGAAGCATTTTTCCTAGGAGTTTTACAGTTTGGAGCTTTATATTAAGTCTTTAACCTACTTGGGGTTGCTGTGCAGATATGGATAGAGATAGGATCATTTTAAAATAAAATACTATTATTTTTTTTCTTAAGTTTGTTATAGGGCAGATATGCTCAACAGAGACAGAAAGAGAGAGTGCAAAAGCAAGTTACGAGGTCTGAGACTTGAGAACCACTGTCAGCCATGCGGGAGTCCAGTACCTTAATCACCATGCTACCTGCTGGTCCTGAGATGAAGGTCTTATTATTTCATTCTTCTGCATATGGATATTCAATTTTCCCATCACCACTTATTGAAAAGCCTGCTTCTTTCTCAGTGAAGGTTCTTGGTGCTTCTACTGAAAATTAGCAGGAAGGGACCAGCAGATGGTGTAATGGTTATGTCACTGAACTCCCACATAGTCGACTGCAGTTGAAGTCACAGATATGGTGGCTTAAAACTCACACCAGGAACGTGTGCTTGAGTGCTCAAAAACCTGAAAGGAGACTGGAGGAGAAAGGATAGTGGCAATGCCCTCCCGCCTGAGGGGTGATATCTCGCTTTCTGTCTATCTATCTCTATGGCTTTGGCGAGTGCACATGTCCTAGAGCGAAAAAAACTCAAAATAAATAAATAAATAAATAAATAAAGAAGAAGAAAGAAAATCAGCAGGCTATATATATATGAACTTACTTCTAAGTTTCTCAGTTCTCTATCCTTTTCCATTGGTTTATGTGTCCATTTTTATGCAAGTAAAATGCTGTTTGGTTACTGCAGTTTTGGACTTTGAATTTAGGCAGTATGGTGCCTCTAGGTTTCTTCTGTTCAAGACTGCTCTGGCTATATTAGGGCCCTTTTTTGTTCCATATGAATTTTGTGATTTTTTTCTTTTTAATTTCTGTGAAGACACCATTTTTGATAGAGATTACACTGAATTTGTACATTACTTTTTGCAGTATGGGATGTTTTAAGACATTTCAACAATATCTTTCTAATCCATGAACATGAGCTGTTTTTCCATTATTGTGTCTTCTGCAATTTCTTTCATCAGTGTTCTATAGTTGTCACTGTGTAGATCTTTTATCTTCTTGGTTGAATTTATTCCTATATATTTTATTTTTATTAAAAACACCACTTTTGGGAACCAGCAGTTAGCGTAATGGCTATGTCGCTGGACTCTCACGTAGTCGACCGCGGTTCGCGTCCTGGACCCGGTGGCTTAAAACTCACGCCGGGCGCGTGTGCGTGCGTTCCCAAGATCCCGAGAGGAGAATGGAGGAGAAGGGATTGTGGCGTGACCATCCCCCCTGGGGGGTGATTTCTTGCTTTCTGTCTCTATGTCTCTCTCTGTCTGTCTGGCGAGCGCACGCGCCCTATAGCACAAACCTCTCCAGAAAAAACAAAAAACAAAAAAAAAACACCACTTTTTTTTTTTTTGGAGAGGTTTTCGCTATAGGGTGCGTGTGCTCTCCAGACAGACAGACAGAGAGAGACACAGAGACAGAAAGCGAGAAATCACCCCCAGGGGGGATGGTCACGCCACAATCCCTTTTCCTCCATTCTCCTCTCGGGATCTTGGGCACACACGCACACGCGCCCGGCGTGAGTTTTAAGCCACCGGGTCCAGGACGCGAACCGCGGTCGACTACGTGGGAGTCCAGCGACATAGCCATTACGCTAACTTCTGGCTCCCAAAAACACAACTGTTCTTTGTAGGCTGATTTTGTATTCTGCAATTTCACTCAATTTGCTCATTGATTCTGAAAGATTTTTGATCAAGTTGAGGTTTTTCTATATACAAGAACATGTCATCTGCAAAGAGGAATAATTTGACTTTCTCCTTCCTAATTGGATGCCTTTACTTTTTTATCTTAACTGCTCACTCTTATCTAGAATTTTCAGTACTACTATGCTGAGTAAGAGTAGTGAGAGTGAATACCCTTAACTTCTTTCAGTTCTTAGAGGAAATTTTTCTAAGAATTATTTATTTTATTTATTCATTCTTTATTTTATATTTCTCTATTAAAAATTCTTTTAATGTCTTCCATGTTTTTAAACTTTTCCCATCAAATTAAAGTTCTTGCTGGTTTTACAGTACATAGGAATCATCCTACTACCTTTTCTGTTTCTGAGAATCAGACAGCAATAACCTTCAATATACTTATCTCATTTCTGGTGAGCACATACACCCTATAGCAAAAACGTCTCCAAAAAAAAAATGTGTATCAGGAAAAAATTATATTTATCCGTGGTTTTTGTTTTTTTTTTTCACCAAAAATAAACTCAAACTTTAATTTCAATTTCCACCAACTTTCTAAAATCAACATATATGGAAGTAAGTATATATATTTATATGCACATATTTAAAACCCTTCTACCTGTACATAATAATAGTTTTGCTCCTTGATTTTCAGATCTTGTCATTTTAATTTCCTTTTTATTGCCCTTCACATTCGCTAGATCCTCATAAAATAGAAATAATTATAGGTGATAATCTTCTGTGATTTTTTTTAAAAAAATGCTTCTTACATTAAATATAAACAATGCTGTTGGGCTTTAGTAAATTAATTTTGTTGCTTTAATGATATTCCTTTCCAGTCCTAAGAGCATTTTTATTTTTTTTATTCAACAGGTAAACAACAGAATCATCATGATTAATCGTCATGTGCCAATTAAATACTTTTTAAATATTATAAAAACAGAATAGGTGATAAATCTTATTAAGTACTTTTTCTACATCTATAGAAATAATCTTTTTAATCCTTTAATGTGATGAATTATATTAAGAGGCTTCCTAATGCTAAAATAATCTTATTTTCTGCGATAAAAATAAAGTATCAGAGATTTCATATATTAAGTTGACGAGAAAGTCATGACATATTTTTCTATGTAAAAATGTGTCATGAGGGAATCAGCAGATGGCATAATGGTTATGTCGCTGAAGTCCCACAGGGTCGACCATGGTTCGAGTTCTGGAGCTGGAGGCTTGAAACTCACATTGGGTGCATGTGTGAACTGCCCAAAATCCCAAAAAGAGAATGGAGAAGGGATTTCGGTGTGGCCATCCCTCCTAGGGGGTGACTTCTCACTTTCCATCTGTCCGGAGAATGGATGAGCACTATGGCAAAAAAAAACCTCTCTTATAA